GGGAGAGAGGTTCTTCCCAAATGGGGTGTTTTTTGATCCACGCGGTAGGTTAAACGCATGTACTTATCTTTTGTGATTGAGCACTGCTTTTCACTGGCTGTGGAGGCCTGAGCAGACTCTCCGCTGCCCAACCTCTCCTCATGTGGAAAACGCATCCCGAATGCCACTGCTTGCCTGATCCTGCAAGTCAGCCGATCGAGCCTGCAGGGCGCTGGCTCCTGCTGGGTCAGGTCTGCGGAGTCCTCGAGTCCTCCTAGCTGCTTCTGAACCATCTCTCACTCCCCCTGCCACGCAGTCTAATTCCTCAGCTTTACCTTTGATGTTTAGGGCTCCTAGATTGTCATATATAATTGATTCACTTGTTTTTTCAGGTTTTTGTTGTAAAAGAGACCATCAGAAGTGTCTGACTACCATCTTGGTCCTGCCTCTGCCTTCTATATTAATGCTAATATTTTATATGTTTTTGTTGTTGTTCTTCTAGCCGCCGATTCCTGTACATTGTTAATCTAGATGCCCCTTTCGAAGGTCACCGAAAGATCTCTCGCCAGAGCAAATGGGACATTGGAGCTGTGCAGTGGAATCCTCATGACAGCTTTGCACACTACCTTGCAGCTTCGGTGAGTTCATTTAAGGAGTACAGGAAAAAGCTTTTAAAGGTGTGATCTGGTGCTGGCAGGTCTGTGTCTTATGTAAAGAGGAGAAGGCAGCCTTCGCTACTCAGTCAGAAAAGAAGTTTGGATGGTCCAAAAGAAAGGCAGAGGTAAATTACAGTTTAAAAAATATATATGAAAGTGTTTGCTGCACCATGGGTATCAGACCTTGTATTCTAGAGATTGAGTCCAGACTATGAAAGGAAGCAGGCAGATGCCTCCATTTCTGCCGTCTTGATGTATGTGTGGTAAGACCGGTTTTCGTCAGAAGCTGTTTGAGTAGCCAGTGGTGAAAGCAAGTGACCCTGAAGGAGGTTCCTCCGGCTGCTCTGGAAGACGTCAGGAGAGTACTGGTGAGCTAGTCTGGGGTTGACCTTCACTGCTTTCAGAAGGGTCCAGAAGACTCCATACACCCTTCTACTCAAAGGAAGAGAGAGATTCCTCCTTGATTGTGATTCACTAGATTGGTTAATTCCCTGAATTTTTTTTTCAAAATTTTATGTGCCTGTATATATGTGAATTTTTCCAGGGAAGAGATGCATAATTTTTATTAGGTTTTCTAAGATTTTCATGACCCAAAAAAGATTCTGGGCTAGATCATCTCTGGTATCCTTCACCAGATTCTGGATCATCATTTCGTTCTCCTAGAACAGTTAGAGATCTAAACCTTTTGCTTCTTTTGCCCTTGGCAGGAAGTACAGTATTTAAGGGAATCCTTCTCATTAACCAGGGGACGATGGGTTCATTTCATGGTGCTGAGTTTGTTCTGATCAGGAATGACAGGCTGTGAAGAGAAAGCATCTGAGAAAAAGGGGAAGAGCAGCACTGTCAGCTTTAGAAGGAACAAAAGCTGCTTTTCCCAGTCACTTCCAAAACAGAGGCTGACTTTAAACATGGATGGCTGAGGTTGACCTGGCTTTTAGGGCTATTCTGAAAGAGAAGAGGGCGAGTCAGTCTACTACATTTCCATTCTCAGCCTCAATCTGTGTGTTAGGAAGAGTGCTCTTCTTGTCAGCTTATGCCTCTAGGCCCTTTAGTTCTTCTCTCACCCTCAGCCCCTGATCATTTCATCCTGGGTTTCTCTGCTTGGACG